TATATATATATATATATATTTATATATATATATATATATATATATATATATATATATATATATATATATATATATATATATATATATATATATATATATATATATATATATATATATATATACTTTATATTTTATTTTGATTATTTATTTAGCTGGTGCTTTAATACAAAAAAGACAAACGTATTAGCCTTCCTGTGAAATTGTAATTATTTTTCACACATTTCTCAATTGCTGTTTAATAGAAGATTTTTTAGCATTAGCTTAAATAACTAATTTCTAATAACATATTTATTTAGTTTTTTTCATGATGACAGTAAATACTATTTTACTAGTTATATTGCAAGATACAATTATTCAGCTTGAAGTGCAATTTAACTAGGGTAACTAGGCAAGTTAGATTAATAAGGCAAGTCATTGGTGGTTTATTCTGTAGCTACTAAAAAAAATTAAGGAGGCTAATAATATTGACCACAAATATTAAAATATACAAAATAAGACTTTCTTCAGAAGAAAAAAATATAATAGCTAACTAGGGTTTACATGATAGTGGAATTGGGTACCAATCGATAGTAAAATTTCAAAAATGTCCATTTTCCGCTAAAATTTGAGCATGTTACTAAAAAGTGCTTATTTTCTAGTGTGTTCACGTGATCAACAGAAATGACGGTGATTGGCTGTAAAGGTCATCAGTTCAACAAACTCACCGCTGTTTACTGAGTGTAACCACAGATACAGGGACACTAGAGCGTTTTAAAACAAAAACGTAAAATGACGTGTCTGAAGAGCGAGGAGGGATCCAGGGGTGAGAAGCATGTGCGACTTATTTGAGGACCGGGAGGGAGACGCGCAATTTCCGGGAGATTAAACCGCAAATGCATAGAGACTCCCGGAACTTCCAGGAGACTTGGGATATCTGAATATCACGTTTAACAACGTTCTAAAATGCCATATTATTACCAAGACGTGTATTTTTTGCGAGCTGGTTTGAGACGGGGGCGGTGCAGTGAATCAGCCATGCCGGCTTAGCATCATGTTGTCTATTGGCCATCGGCGATGGACGATGGCATCGTCTATCGGCCCAACCCTAATCAGCGCTGTTTAAGAATGCGCTCAGCAGTACTCAAATTTTAGCAGGAAGTGGACGTTATTAAAATTTCAATATCGTTTGGTACCGAATTCCAGTATCGTAACAACCCTATCCGCTTGTTAAGTGTGACGTCACGCAAAGCGGTTCCCAGGTCCAAACACTCTATCAAACTGTATGCAGAGACTCATCAAATGGTAATAATAAACGTTTACAAAGGGATGCAATACTTTGGAAAATCACGATCGCAATATAAATATCCATGCAGTGCTCCATTAGGCACATTCAAATCGAGACTGAAAACACATCTGTTTAGCTGTGCCTTTACTGAATGAGCACTGGGCTACGTCCAACAGATCGCACTATTATGTTTTTCTCTTTTGTTTATTCTTTTATAACCTGTTTATCACATTTTTATGTATTTTTTATGATTTTTATTATTTTGACTCTTTTATTCTGCACTTTGAACTGCCACTGTGTATGAAATGTGCTATATAAATAAACTTGCTTGCCTTGCCTAATATCCAATGGCCAGAAAGTGACACATTTTTTTAGAAATTGTTAAAATTTTGGTATTTGATTTAATATAAAATTCACTTTCATGTGTGACATGACCAAAAAAGTGGTCATAAAGGAATATTTTCTCAAATTAAATGAGTAGCGGCTTGGACCTAGAAACAGTATTCCATACGTTAAAGATAAGTCACGACTTAAGCGGATACCAAACACTGTGGAAAAAAATCCTTAAAATTCCTTAAGCATACCAAAAAATGTTAAACGTACAATCGGAAATGTTTTTTTTTTTTTTTTTTAAATAATCAAGATTTCATAGGAGGGCTAATTATTTATTTTTTAACTAAAAACGGAAATATACATAATCATCATATTTTCATTAGATTTACGTTTATCTCCCAGTCCAACATAAGCACTTTGTCTAACTCTAATTGATCCACAAATGTCAATAATCAATGAACATTTGAAATGAATACAGATTTTTGTTTCTATAATTAGATTTCTGCCTCTGCAGATTATAAAGGCACTGTTAAATATGCAGCAAATGTTAAGGGAGAAGATCCATCAATAGGTGGGGCAGTGACTTGCCGTTTGGATATGGGGTTTCACACAGCGTAAGGAAATCCACTATGGGGTAGTCCATCTCCAGCACTGCAGTGCTTTTCCCATGCATCACAGTCAGACAGGCTCGCCTACCCACTGTATCATATGACAAACCTCCACACAGTATCATGAATGGGTCCCTTAACAAAACAAATGAACAAATCTCAATTTTCCATGATGCAAAGAGAAGCCAAGCCGGAAGTGAAACAAATTAGTGCTTCATTCAGGAGGAATGGAATGAAGGAAATACACTGTCATATTAGTCTTATACTTTATACCGGTCCCCCATAAAACATTCTGTCATAAAACCCATAAAACAGAAGCATCTACAGTCAGACAGTCTCTCGCAATGCAACGTTGCACAAGTCTCAAACCGATGCATCATGCTCTGTTTGCTTCCTCGATGCAACCCTGAGTTCAGCCTCCAAAATAAGACTTACCCTGCTCTGGTGGTTTTGTACTCCACTTTTAAGATGGGTTTGCAAGGCTCCGGCTTCTTCCCATCCTTTGGCTGTTTACCTGAGAGAAAGAACATTGCTTGTTAAAGAAGAGTGTGCAGTTGAAGAGATTTACATTTAGTCATATAGCAGATGCTTTTGTCCAAAGCGACTAACTATTGAGAAGGCATTCAATGACTCAATAAATAGAGGCAATACTAGGGTTGGGCGATGTTGACAAATTTGGCATCGTATGATGTCTAATATGCAACATCACGATAGACGATGGCATTGTCGTCATTGGCGGCGGTGAATCAATTATGAATAATTAATTATTTCATAATGAATTAATTATTTGTAGCCTACCGTTTCAACTACCTGACCCGCATGGTCTTTGTTTTACCCATAACCAATCATACAGTAAATGAATAAAGATAAGTTACACACATAATTACCACCTGTCAATCCCTTTATCCGTGGGACTCGTGAATAGGCAGAGTGATCTGTGTCATTATAATGGCGTCGACAAACTTGGTTGGTAAAAAAGGTGCACAACGAACAGGAACCAGCCAACAGTGTCTGAGGTTTTCGCTAAAATTACTAAGTACAAGAGTGACAGCGAAAGATTGAACCAATCTACTGACCCGCTGACTGCCTGGACCTGCTGTCTCAAGCGCATGACAGTGTGTGTGTGCCTGTGCGTATGTGGTCACATGATGTGTGTTTTCAGCGGTAGTGTGGAAGGAAGGCTGCTGAGAAATGCTAGGTGAAACGCCAGAGTGGATGTGGATCGTTTACATTCTAAAAATGCCATTTAAAAACTAAGACCTATTTCTGTAAACATGGCCTGAGAGTGTATTTGCAACGGGCGGATTTGCAACTGGGAGTGCGATGTCGGCTCAGCATCAAGGTGTTCGGCAATGGACGATGGCATTGTCTATCGGCCCAACCCTAAGCAATACACACAAGAAGTGCATGAGAGAAAAGAGTGTTTCTACAGGTGGTTTGTGAAGGCCACCCTGTGTGAAGCGCATACCATAAATGCACTTTTGGACTTTTTTGATATTATATATTTCATACATATGGACACATTGGATAATTAAGTGGAGCAAAGCCACACCACATGCAACTTGATCTTCTATTTTTAAATGAATTTGATAGAAAATGTGCAACATTTTCACACTAGAAAGCATGTTTTATGCGGGAATGTAACTGATATGATATGCTGCAACAGCCCCTTTAAATCTGAGATCAATGTAGCGAATTTTGACGGTCTTGCCACTAAAGCTAAAGACAGATGGAGTTCTCGCCAGGGCGGCCAGAGCGACCTTTGACGCTTTTACCGTCTTCGGTGTGAACGCACAGTAAGGGTGCGGCCTGCCACCCTGTGAAGGAAACTCATTTCGGCTGCTTGTATCCGAGATCTTCTTCTTTCGGTCATGACCCAAACCTCATGACCATAGGTGAGAGTAGGAACGTAGATTGACCAGTAAATCGAGAGCCCTGCCTTTCGGCTCAGCTCATCTTTACCACAACGGACCGGTACATACACCACATCTGCTGCAGCTGCACCTATCCGCCTGTCAATCTCACGTTCCATCCTTCCCTCATTTGTGAGCAAAACCCCAAGATACTTGAACTCCTTCACCTAGGCTAAGGACTTTCCTCCAACCTGGAGATGACACTGTTATACAATGACTTGCCTTATTACCCTACCTTGCCTTATTATCCTAGTTAAGCCTTTAAACATCAATTTAAGCTGAATACTAGTATACTGAAAAATATCTAGTCAAATATTATGTGCTGTGATCATGGTATCATAAGAAATGAGTGATTAAAACTATCATGTTTATAAATGTGTTGAAAAATTATCTCTCCGTTAAACATGAATGAGAGAAAAAAATATCTAATAATTTCGGAGGGCTAATAAGTCTGACTTCAACTGTGTATATAAGCACCGGTCTGTTTGCAAACAATCATTTTCACTGGTGTGCCAAACATCACTTCACCTCTACAGTCTTTTGATATTTATTCTGTGCTCCCTGAAGCGCTCAACCTGAGGAAGTTGGAAGGGAGTTTGTTTGGGCAGGAGCTTACCATGCGGTGTAATGATCTGGGCAGGCTTGGCAGGAGCGCGCACATTCCATGTGGTAAGTGTGCCATCCGAGTGACTGCACACAAACTGTTTCCCCTCGTGATGCCAAGCCACAGAGTGGATCGCCTACGGGCCAAACAAAGGATGAGTAATCAAGCACAAGAGAAAGCAGGTCATGCAAACTACAGGCCGTGTGCTGTGACAGCAAATATGAGGACACAACAATCAACATAACCAGGATATATACAGGAATCATGGAGCTAAATTCAATACCTATTAAGAGCTTTTAATTAAAGACTCTGGTAACACTCTATAATAACTACACACTATAAATCATTTATTAAGCATTAGCAAATAGTGAATTCATTATCTGTTAAGCATTAACTCTACATTAATAAGCGTTAGTAAGCAGTTTATAACTGCAGCTACAAATGCTCTATTCTTGAGCACCTACATAATGTGGTTAATAATTATATTTTCATACTCTGTTAATGATTTATTTTTCATTACTAAATTAAGTATCGAATTATTTACAAACCGTTTGTATTTAAGAGTCGTTGAGGGTTTTCAGGACCATTCAAAATGAGTTAGTAAATGATTAATAAACTATTGAAATCAACATTTATATGTCTTATTATTCAGGCATATATTAATAGTTAACTAATATGTTAGTAAATGCTTTATTAACTCAACTTCATGCTGTTTTGTGAGCTAATCTAAAGTGAGGACTATTCATGCTTTATAAATCCTTTATAAATGACAAATAAAGGCTCAGAATCAAATGAACGATAATCTGTGCAATCTTTCTAAAAAGTAAAATGACTGTAAAGTTTAAACATTGCAAAATAACAGGAGTGTCAAAATATGACATCCAACTGGATAAAACAACAACAATATATAATAATTTAACATTATAATAAGATGTAATGTTTAAACTCTACAGTAATTCTATTTTAGATCAGGTTGCAAAGATTTATTTTTCTTTTGAAGTCCAGTTTCATTTGTGTATCTTTAAATGAAGAGAAATGAAAAATGTCTTTTTTTCCTGTTTAGAATTTAACTGAGCCTTTATTTGTCATTTATAGGGGGTTTATAAAGCATGAATAGTCCTCACTTTAGATTAGGTCACAAAACTGCATGAAGTTGAGTTATTAAAGCTTTTATTAACATATATAGTAACCATTAATATATGCCTGAATAATAAGACATATAAACTTTGATTTCAATAGTTTATTAATCATTTACTAACTCATTCTGAATGATCCTTAAAAACCCTCAACTACTCTTAAATACAAACGGTTTGTGAATAATGTGATACTTAATTTAGCAATGAAAAATAAATCATTAACTAAGTATGAAAATACAATCATTAAACACATTATATAGGTGCTTATAAGTCAAGAATAGAGCATTTGTAGCTGCAGTTATAAACTGCTTACTAACGCTTATTAATGTAGAGTTAATGCTTAACAGATAATGAATTCACTATTTGCTAATGCTTAATAAATGATTTATAGTGTGTAGTTATTATAAAGTGTTACCAAGACTCTTTTTGTAAATTAGGAGCTCATCGCCACTTTAGGTTTTAGCTGGTAACACAGGGAACATTTACATTACATTTAGCCATTCAGCAGACGCTTTTGTACATTTCAGCAGAGGATTTCAGTACATTTACATTTAGTCATTTAACCCTTGTGTGCTGTTGGGGATGTTTCCATCCATTCTGGAGTGATTTTGAGGCTTAATTTGGCCACAGCTTTCTTTCTTTTTTTTTTTTAGGTGACAAATCTTATTTTTACACATATTTTGGGGAAATCCTTTGGATGTTTTGAAACACTTAACAATACAATGGGAAGATTTACTACCCTTTTGTTATGTTGGGGGCTTTTTTTGCCCTATTGTCTTCCAATATAATGACATGTTATGATTGCAAAGTCATAACCCCATATTATTTTAGAGAGAGATTGTGTGTGTGAGTGTAATGCTGCGTTCACACCAGATGCGGATGAAGCGTCAATTGCTAGTGATTTATATGTTAATCAATGCAAAGGCGCTAATAGATATCCTGCAGTGCGATTTGCATGAAAGAAACATCGCGAATGACACAATTCGCGCAAATGAAGCGGTGCGAGTTGAGTGTTTTATGTTTGAATCGCTCAAGTTGGAAAATCTGAACTTCAGCGGACATTCGCACCACGTTAGCCAATCATGAGGTTGTCTTGTAGGGGCATGATTATGATGTAGTTCCTGTTGTTGGTGTCCTAAGGGGGTAATCCTCTTGCTGACACCAAACAACAGTTCATCAATTTGGGCTCAGCTCAGTCTGAAGCATTGTTAAAAGCTTCCATCATCCAGGTATAGTTTCTGGAGGAGTTGATGAACTCACAGAGCTGGGTGCACCTCTGAAAGGATCTAGTGGACTCAGACACGGCACCGAACAAATCTATGTTGTTTTTCAGCCTTCCTAAAGCGCATAAAACACAGCTACTATCCCAATAAAATCCATGTTAGCTATTAAGCAACAAAGCTAGGCTCACCGGCCATGACGCGAATCCGCATCAATTGTAAAGCAAATTTGACTTACAAGTGAAGTAAACTTAAAATGTTCACGCATCTATTTTACGAATTTTGTGCATACTGCATCTGGTATAACAAAATACAGAATAAAAGAGACACTTCCTTTGCACACTTACCTTGATATGTCTGTGAACATAAAAATAAGCAGCTCAGCTCTCAGAACATAGTAAACATAGTAAGTGTATTTACGCACACACACAATACAATCTGCTGTTTTACTCCATAGGACTACTTTTAAAAGCCTAAAACTTTTCTGCACAGGCCTATCTAAAGAGTTAATGCAGCCAACTGATGATCAACAGTAAAACTTACACATTGTACCTCTTTCTAACAAAGAAAACCACCAACAATCAAGAATATAAGATTATATGCTGTCATGGCTTTGCAATCAAAAAATGTCATTATAATGGAAATTAATGGGGCAGAAACAGCCACTAACATAACGAAAGGGTAGTCAATTTAAACAGGACACAAGGGTTAACTTACAGTATATTTCCTAAAGGCTGATTGTAGGAATGTACAACTAGAGAGTGTTAGATTGTGATAACTACTTGTGATATCTCAATGCAATGGAATTCAGAAATCTGGGAACAATACACAAGACATTTTTAAGTGAAGTTTATTTATAACCTAATTTCAAGAGGATCACGTGCTTATGATTGAACACGACTGGTCTTGCATTAGCTATGTATGATCCATCAATCAGACGATTCCTAATCCACTATAAAGAGCCAGGGTTTCTCACTACAGTCATCTTCAATTTGAAGAATCCCCCCCTTCCACCCCTACTTCTCCACCTTTCCCTTCATAGGGCGGCAAGGTGGCCCAGAGGTTAGCACTGTTGCCTCACAGAAAGTAACGTCACCAGTTCTAGTCCTTTATCAGGATGGCTGTCGTTTCTGTGCAATCATTTAATCATCAGCTCTTATCAAAAGGGAGTTGTTGAGATCTACCTGAGCTCAAAGCTCCCCTCTCACCCTACAAACGGGAGGGAGCCCAGGGCTCAAGGACCTTTTGTGCTCAGGGCTCTCTCCCTGGACAGAATGCCAAAACTTCTTATATTTAATCATCAGCTAAGTGAGATCTCTTGAAATCCTGATTAATACTAATGTTACTATTGATCTTACAACTGTTTTTAATACTGAGATTATGTACTGTTGTTATTGGATTTTAAAGTATATTGTGATAAAGTGAACAACAAATTATCAATAATCACTGTGTTCTGCTGATGAATCATTGACTACGTTTACATGGACATCAGCAATCAAATTATTTGCCTTAATCTGAATGAGACAATAATGTGATTAAGGTGTTTCCAGGAGTTGCTTTTTAAATGTTCCTTTCATGATCCTGTTTTACATGTTATAGCATATGGTACTGGCTCGCATGGTTCAGGATTGGTAGAGCTACGCATCGAGGAATTTGCTCTTCAGTGTTTGAACTCTCAGTAATGATTTTAAATCACACTGAACTGAGCTAAACTGAACTGAACTTAAACACTAAAAACTGAACTACACTATATATCCAGTTACTATAACCATTTATGTGAAGCTGCTTTGACACAATCTACATTGTAAAAGCGCTATACAAATAAAGCTGAATTGAATTGAACATGGATCGATTAAAGTCATTGTTAGAGCTGTGAACCTTCACTGGTCTTACGGTTCGGTTCGGTTACGATTTGGTTGAATTCGATATCTCAGTGCATCACAGTGCATTGACGGTGCTTTCCATACACATTTTTATAATTTCTTTCCATCAAGAAATTCTTGTATTAAAATGTATTAATATATCTAAATTTATAAACAATTTGTAATACAATTTTGTCCTTTAATAAAAACAGTAAGATATATAAACTGTACCTTAAACAACACAAGCATTTATAGCAATTAATATAAACAAATAACAAATAAATATCCCGCTCGCTTTCTGAACCTTGTCTAGTTCTCTTACACCCCTTTGATTAGTCACACCCTCAACAAAAAAGGCTGCGATTGGCTCATGCGTGCAGATGAATAACACTGATAAGCGGCAGGGAGGACCACAGCTGACCCATGATAGACACGGTGGAGAAAACTATGCAGGCACGCGCTCGTGTCTGTATCCAGAAGTATCGCTGTAAAACAGCTGAGAGGAGAGGAAAAGTCACGTCAGCAGGTCAAATCGGCCACAGTGAGAAAGAGAGAGAAATGGAGTACTTTCATTCTCTCAATCGCAGTGAAATAGGGGCTTCTGCTGTAAGTGTCAGTGAAAGACTGTCCAGCCAACACACACGCAGTGAAATTGTGAAGAGTTTCTGAGATTTAAGTAGTTGGAGCATTGTAAATACTCGCGCTCACCTCCCTCGCCATATGGAATAAATTACGTCAGTACATAATAACCGGTTATGATTATTACTGAACCGATACCGAATTGTCCACGTCTGAATTGCGGTGCACCGAAGAAACAATTAATTTTGACACCCCTAGTCATTGTGCCATCATGCTTTCCATGTTTCTTTGGGAGTTTCATGTAATTTGGGGTGTTTCATTTTTAATTTGTCGACTTTAACTGCAGTTTGGCACTTTCACTTTCATTCACGAACATTTCATGCATGCCCCCGTGACAAACAAGATATTGGATGCAAGTATGAACTGCTGGAAGAGTGTAGTTTTAATGAAGTTTGATACAGCACGCCGTATGGGAAAAGACCTCAGCTTTTCGCAATGCATTTGTCTGTAGTCCTTCGATGACTCAGTAGAAAATAAACAGCTGCAGGTGTATAGACTATCCCGATGCAAAATGGGGTGAAAACCCTAAACAACGGTAATAGTTTAATTAAGGTGTTTACATTAGGGTTGGGCATCTTAGCTATAATGCCGATCTGATACGCATCTCGATACAAAGAATACGATCCGATATATTAGCGATACATTTGTGACATTGCGATGCAACACGATACGATTCACACCCATATCACGATACAATGCGATATTTCAGCACTAACTAATTAGATCAAGTTTATGAGATGATGTGAAAGAGGATGCTGTGCCATTGAATGAGTTTGATTATTTATTAACCAAGCAAAACCAAGACTTTTTTTACAAACTGGCATTTCTCTCCATTTTAGAACATATAGCACATCTTATTTAAGTATTTTCAAGATAAACAGAATGTATAAGTGCAATATATTTTAAAATGTATATATTTGCACTCTTTCAACATAAAGGTTTAGTATTGCACAACAAGAACTGTGATTTAACTTTTCAACTATAAAAAACAACTTTTACAAAGATATATTTTGCCACTGAATATTCAAAACTTAAGGTCGTGAACTAGCAGTGTTATGCTGCTTTGAAACATCACTGTCACTGTAAACAACAGGCTAATAAAAATATAACAAACCAGCAATCTTCTTGCTGTGAGGTGGTCAAACTACCCACTGTGCCACCGTGACACCCATTATTTTTATCATTATTATTATTAATATTATTATTATTATTATTATAACTAAATAAAAATTAACAGGAGGAGGTGTTTAAAACCTTCGTTCTCCGTGACACTAGGCTGAATATCTTTGCAGATGAACAATGCAATAACATCCGTTATTGGCGTAGAGCGCACAAAACTGTTGCGCATGGAAAAAAAACTTGCAATGCTTTTCTCACCACTTTTGGAGCTGGTAGCTACAGTTGAAGCAGTGCGAAAGCCGGGGATGCAGGAACACTGGAAGATGCTTTCACAACAACACCGTGGCGCCGCTTCAAGTGAGATTTCAGATTAGTCATACTGCCCGCGTATTTTACAGATGCGCGGCACATTTTGCAAATTGCATCTGTCCTGTCATGTCGTCCATCCTTAAATCCATAATGTTGCTTGACATACTTTAGATTTAAAACTCAGTGGGGAATAAAATGTTTGTTTTGCTTCTCGCGCTTTCTGAGGGCGCTCCACTAGCTTCATCCGCACACCTGATAGAGTTGTAGTGTAAGTGTACACATCCGCAAATCCGTTGCTAAGGCTTACTTTATGTAGGTCGATTAAATTATGCGCCAAAAACAGGTTGACAACACTTGTTAATAAATAAAAAATACATTCTATATTAAAAATATAAGCTGTATCTTGGAAAAACCGATGCATCTCGCAAAAACCGATGCATCTCGATTTGCTTCCAAAATTTCATTCATCCTCTGCTGCTCAACCGCTGCACTCGCATCGTGCACGCGCATGACCGCGTATCGATACATATCGGTTAATCTTCCCATCCCTAGTTTACATGTGTGTGCTGCACTTCAATAATGCGGCTAAATTCGGCATACTCAACGTGTCTTGATTCCATTTCAGCTTCGATTATGACTTTAATCAGATTCAATTCATCAAAAATCAATGTTTACATGGTCAACTCTTAATCAGAGTAACGTCTTAATCGTTTTAAAATCTAATTATTGGTGCTCATGTAAACGTACTTACTGTGGCCACATCTGAACACTTTTATTTGATGAGTTTATCCCATCCCTATTGAAGACATTACTAAAACAAAACTAAATAGGTCTGCTTTAAAAAAAAAGATCTAGATCACAAAATCGGGGACAACTATTATATGCAATAACAATGTCTCACCTCATCATAGTTGTAGCGGTAGTCTGCCTTCTTCGATTTCAAGTCCCACAGCACAACTATCCCACATTCAAAACCAATTAAAAGCTGCAAAAAGAGAGCAACTGCTCTTGAATGGTGCAGACTGAAAGCGGAGCATTCAGAAAGTGATTTGTAGGGAAACATATAATCTTAACTGTAGTTCAAACTTACTTTTCCTTCATCCATGGGGTTATCGCTGATGTGAACTACTGGTCCAGGGTGAGTCTTTGATGAACTGTTTAAAAAAAAGAGACTTGACTGCTTATTTCTGAAGAAAATACTTTAAATATTCATAGGAGGTATTAAAAGCTCATGCATCAAGATTCAAACCGGGCGATCGATTAGTGAAGGGCCACTTTCATTCATTTGAGGGGCATTTTTTCTCCAAGAGAAAAAAGGGACATGCTGGGCCCTACCTGTGCACGTGCCTGTGCATTGCTCAGGTAAGAGTTTTTTTCCCGACTTCAACAGTGTTATCTTGATGGTTCTGTGGGTCTCGTCTATCAAATCTGATCTTTAGTTTGTATTTTCTATTCAATTCAAGTAAGGTGATTGGCTAGGCAATTCTGCAGCTTGATTTTCTTTCTCTGAAAGCATCTGGGAGTTTCCTTGGTTGTGTTTTGGATCATTGTCTTGCTGAAATGTCCACCCTGGTTTCACCTTCATCCTCCTGCTAATGTAGATTATGGACTGAAGCAGCTGATATTCATTTACACTGAGGAAGGGCAGAGGGTTACTGAAGAACTACTGAGATTTTAGCTCCTGTCTGGGCTTTCACTGCCTTTCTACACCTGCCTTTCTTCATGTGTTCAATATTTTTTTCCTTTGTCATTTATTTTATTTCACATAACTAATTAGTATTGTTTGCTTTGCATATATGGATTTATTGGCTTGTAAACAACATCTGTTGAACATTTCAAGTCAACAACACCTTTAGAATATGTTTTCTAAGAAAAACGCTGATGTGTTAAATACTTATTTCCTCCACTGTATTTAGAGTTGTGTTTTGAAGCTTCAACATTTTTTAAAACACAGGCAGTGATTAATATTAACCTCTGCTTAAGATGAGTTTTATAAAATCCTTTCATTTCGAACAATCACAGTAAGAGCTGAGTGATATGACACAATGCATAAACATCCATTGAACACTTCTATTCAGCAGTCTACTTGTGTTTGTTGCCCAATTACAAACACTAATACACAATATACATGTTAAAACTAACAACAGATAGATACCCGAGTGGGAGATGAGGGTGTTGGTGTGGGTAGATTGCTAGATAACCATCAGCCATTTCTCAGAGGACGACAAGCTGACAAAACATTGCTCTGATACAAGTTTTATTTATAAAGAAAATGAAAAAGCACTTCAGTGTTTGGGTGTTCTGTGTTTGTCTGAGATAATTAGTATAACGAAATGTGCATCCATTTTGGGTTTCATTTTGGAGCTTATGTGACCAAAATGTAACCGAGAAAATATGGTAATATTTTCTAATTGAAACATTTTTTAAAATAAAAGATCTTTCAGACTTTGATAATAAATAAAATGGAAATAATTAATGATTTCTTGTGCAGCCTGATACCAATTTATCCATGGAACGGTGCTGGTCCACAGCCTGGGGGTATGGCATCACTGATTTAAACAGACCATACAACTCATCGGCTGTAACTGAATATATTTGTAATCTGTATATCCAGCATTTTGCATTCTGACGCACTGAACAGATTACTGCATGAGATCTGCTCCTTAAAGCCCATTGCACACTGGCCAGTCAATAACCATATCTTTCACATGTGCTAAACATTACTTTATATGAGAGTACCAACTCTGACACTGTCGTTCAAATTCTGTCTGTGTTGCTTAGCAATGCATTAAAAAAAAAAACAATGTAAAGATGCGGCGCAACAGGCTTTATTCTATCTGCCTCTCTTTTATTTCAAAATAAAAGTGAGTTTAAAATAAGCGTAGATAAATTCAAAAATAAAGGGACAAATTATCATTGTTGTAATCTCACTAGAAAACATTGAGATCAATCTAATGCAGCCTGGTGCGGGCATATTAATGATCCCTCGTGCAACGTAACAGTCTGTCTTTTGCTCCAATAGGCCTGTTTATAATTGGGATTTTTATATATAATTTTAGGCTCATGGTATGTCATTTCCATTACTATTAAGCTATCCCTAGGTATATCTAGATTTACATTATATGGCACCTTTAATTAAAATCTCCCAGAGCTGACAGAAGAAATCACAGGAGAATTACTAGAGATGATGGAGTCTAGACAGACACTCACAGTTCAATGGCTTTGTTCCACATGATCACATAGCCTGAGAGGGTGAAGGACTCCACGTTGACGATATGAATGTTCCCTCTTTCCGTGCCCACATACAGCCATTTACTCTGGAAAGGCAAATGGCAAAACGTGATCCTGCCAAAGACAAAGAGAGAACTGACCTTAATCAAAGTGAATGATTCATTGTGATTATCTCATATGATGGACATGAACATCTGACTGATTTGTGACGCATTAAGGATGAGACAGGCAATAACAGTGAAATCTGGCTAAATGAATGAGTCACGTTTGATAAATAAGCTGATATTACTGGGAATGACTGCACATTACTGCCATTGTGTGTCTTCTGAATGGGACACCAATCACGTCTATATGCATTTAAGAGCACTTTAGAACATTGTCCTGGTCTCCTGTCTCAGAACAAACATTCATTTAAACCTTTATTCTGGGTTGGTTTGATGCTTAAAGTGTAGAAAGGCAATATCGTTCTGTCACACGCCAGGGTGCTTTGGGTGATTGAGAAAGTATTACTATGAAGGAGCTAACGTGTGTGCAGTTTTGAATAAAATATTATTTGTCAAAAGCAAAAGCTAAATTTGGGGAAAAGATTCAGTTAAAAATTACAACATTTAAAATGAAAAATTGGGGCGGCGTGGTGGTGCTGTTGGTAGCACTTTCTCCTCACAGCAAGAAAGTCGCTGGGTTGAGCCTTGGCTGGGTCAGTTGGCATTTGTGTGTGGATTTTGCATGTTCTCCACGTGGGTTTCCTCCAGGTGTTCTGGTTTCCCTCACAGTCCAAACACATGTGCTATAGGTTGTTACGTAGCCTATTTTCTTTAAATTCAATGATAATATAAAAATAATATAAATAAATAAATATCTTTTTAAGTAGTGAGGTTTTTGTTTTTGTTTTTGTGTGTATTGCGTGTGGTTCTCTTCTCTCTGCCTCTGTCTCCAAATAGGTTCATCATTGCCGCACAGGTGCGGTGAATCAGGCGCCAGACAACACGTGGAGGCCGGCTTGTTTGTGGAGACAATTTAAACCAGACTGGAACATGGTTCGAAGAGTCTCCTCTCTCCCGGCTTTTGTTGATTGTTTTGTGGAGTAGAAACTGTGTTGTATTTTTACTCGGCTAAATTGTTAAAAGTGATTGCTGAGTGTTGACTTTGAGATATATGGAGACACGTGTGCTGAGGAGGGTGCCTTTTTGTTTTCTTACTTTTCCTCATGTTTTGTGGCTAGTAGGGAGGTAAGTGAATGTTATTTTATTTCGTTTAATTTCATGTGCAGGTAAGAGGGTTAAAAACTTAAGTTAGCTGTTGAGCTTTTGTTTGTTATTTTGGCATTTTCCTCCGCAAGCTTTTTATTGTCTCCTTTTTTTTTTGAAAATTTATACGTCAAAAAAATTTGACTAAAGTTATTTCCTTGGTCCTTTGTTTTTGTTGTTGTCTTTACTTTTCAACGGGAGATGAGACTCTGGGCTCCTCATTAATTTAGAGGAGTTTTAATTATTTTATTTAATATTATTTATTGTTACGGGTCTGGCTTGCTGTGTGGAGCCAAGCAAGGTTTGAGTTCGTAACAGTAAATTAAGTGAGCTAAATTGTCTGTAGTGTATGTGTGTGAATGAGAGTGTATGGGTGTTTCCTAGTGTTGGGTTGCGGCTGGAAAGGCATCCACTGTGTAAAACATATGCTGGATAAGTTGGCGGTTAATTCCGCTGTGGCGACCCCTGATTAATAAAGGGACAAAGCTGAAAAGAAAATGAATGAATGAATGAATAATAGTTATTAAATAAAATATCTAAATGAAAAAATAAATGAACAATATTACTTTTGTAAACTGGAAAAAAAATGTGTTTATTTTACGCTACGACTGTAAAAAGTTCCTTAATAATGCTGATGGAAGTTTTAATCTTTTAAAATATTAAACTTTGAATAAATTACTTATGGAAACTGCATGTAGGCCTTAAACCTTATCTTTTTTTTAATTTGGTTATTATTTTATTTAGAATTGAATCATTTATAACTCATTTAAATTCATAAATTCATTTAAAATTGCCACATCTTCTAAGAAACAGTCCTGAGCACCAATCTAAAACATTCAGCATTTGTAATTATTCTATTTATTTTCTAATTTGATTATTGTATTAAATGTGCAGTATGTAAGTTTGACACCCAGTGATTGAACTAGGTATTGCATTCCTGGATCAAAACACATGCAAGTGGAGGTTGCCAGATTGAGGACCAACAGAAGCGAGTCTGACTATCAAGCCTAAAGGATGATTTAAGGCTGATTTAAACCGTGTTCTAAATAAAAGCAAAAGCAAACGATAGAAGGAATATTTTCCATGTTAAAATTAGTTTTTGTCAAAACCAACACCTAAAATTGATATTTTAGAAACGGTTTCTATTTCTTGCAGCTGAACAACAGGCTAAACTGACAATGATCACCATTGTCACCAATGCCATTCTACTGAAAGCAGCAGCAGATAGTTGAAAATAAAATAAACCGTTTGAAATTGAACTTCAGAACTGTGAAATAATGCAAACCAACACATATCAGTGATTCAGCGTCTACATTTAATAATGTTAAAGAGGTCTAATATGTGTTAATCAGATTATAAACCTTACCATTTTGTGGGTGGGTGCATATTCTGTGCTTTTGAATGGCTGTACATTTCTGCCGTGTTTATTCTGGTGCAAATTGCTTATCATTGCAAATCTCATCAGGTAGCGTGTTGTTAGGACACGGGTTTACAATGTAACCCGCTCACCGTTCGTAATATTTATATTATTTGCTAATTAATAACCTCATGTAGAACTCTGAATCTGCGTCTCATTTCGGAGGCTTCTACTGTCTACCAGAGGTCGCATTTCAGTCACGAGCACATGCTTTGAGAGACTTCATGACTGAATAAATAATACTGTTAAAAATAAATACACTGTTTTCCAACAAGGCAACCCGGGGTGCTGAAATATAATTGGCTAAACTGGCATTTGCTGGGAAAAATAACCAAAACAAAGACAGCCGTTCCGGCTTGTAACACCCCATTTTCAAAGCAGAATATCTGACTTCAGCACTGTTTTTCAGTTTAACAAGGATGTTCACTTGGCATGTTTTCTAAATATCTGCAAACATATTATGGTATTTCTATGCTTTAGAAGAGTCAAACACATACAGCACCTTTAAGCCCTGAACACTATTTAGCTTGTATTTCAATTAATAGGGCTTTTTTTAAGAAATAGTGGTATGTTGTATGTTTTTATGCAGAATGCTTACCTCTCCCGATTAAATTTAAGAGAATGGAGAACGGCTGGAAGCTTTTGCCTCAAATTCCACAAATGAATACTGTCATCTGCCAGAGCACTAACCAGCGCCCCCTATAGACAAAACACAAAAACACACAATGAAAGACTGAAAAATAAGGCAGCTCTAAAATTTTTATTCACTTTATTATACACTAACAGATTTTCAAATTGACAAATTTAAATATTCAACCAAATGTTAAGCCATTTAAAAAACAAAGGTAGACAGAGAAGGCAAAAAAAAGAGAAAATGACTATAAAGATGGACGAACGAACTTACTACATTGACAAGAAACTCCAGCTGGATGACAGCGGATCCGCTCTCATGCTGACAGTAACACTCAACTCCTGCTCGGCCAAATCTGTAGACTCAGTTAAGGTACAAACATCCCTAAAACACAGAGTATCTATCTATTCAATCTAAATCTATTATCTATTAAACTTGTCATCAATTACTTTTTTTTTTTTTTGATGACATGTTGGATAAATTAAATGAAGTAAATGGTGACATTTACTGCAAAACACTAAAGAAAAACCACCATAGTATACCAAAAAGTTAATATACATGTATGTATCTTCAGAACACAGATGATACATTTGTGCACCTTTAAATAGCAATTCACATGGATGTTGGCTTTCAGTGCTATCAGGCTAACGTTAGCATTTTCGTAGATCTCTTAATTTACCTTTAAATGGCAATGTGCAGCGTGGGACGTTGGTTTTCAGTGCTATCAGGCTAACGTTAGCATTTTCGTAGATCTCCTACTGCATCTTTAAACGGTGATGTGCAGGGTGGGACATTGGCTTTCAGTGCTATCAGGCTAACGTAAGTATTTTCCAAAATCTCCTATTGCACCTTTAAATGACAATTTGCAGGTGAGACGTTGACTTTCATTGCTATCAGGTTGATGTTAGCATTTTCATAGATCTTCTATTGCACCTTTAAATAGCAGTTTGCAGGGTGGGTTGTTGGCTTTTTAGTGCTATCAGGCTAACGTTAGCATTTTCGAAAAATTTACATTAAATGTTTTCATTAAATGGTGATTTACAGATTTTCATTGCATGGTAATTTGCAGTGTAGGACGTTGGCTTTCAGGCTAACATTAGCATTTTCGTAGATCTCCTGCTGCACCATTAAATGGCGATGTTCAGGGTAGGACGTTGGCTTTCAGTGCTATCAAGCTAACGTTAACATTTTCGTAGATCTCCTATTGCAGCTTTAAATGGAGACATTGAGACGTGAGACGTTGGCTTTCCAGTGTTATCAGGCTAACATTAGCATTTTCGTAGATCTCCTACTGTACCTCTAAATGCCGATATGCAGGTGGGACATTGGCTTTCAGTGCTATCAGGCTAACGTTAGCATTTTCGTAGATCTCCTACTGCATCTTTAAACGGTGATGTGCAGGGTGGGACATTGGCTTTCAGTGCTATCAGGCTAACGTAAGTATTTTTCAAAATCTCCTATTGCACCTTTAAATGACAATTTGCAGGTGAGACGTTGACTTTCATTGCTATCAGGTTGATGTTAGCATTTTCATAGATCTTCTATTGCACCTTTAAATAGCAGTTTGCAGGGTGGGTTGTTGGCTTTTTAGTGCTATCAGGCTAACGTTAGCATTTTCGAAAAATTTACATTAAATGTTTACATTAAATGGTGATTTACAGATTTTGATTACATGGTAATTTGCAGTGTGGGACGTTGGCTTTCAGGCTAACATTAGCATTTTCGTAGATCTCCTGCTGCATCATTAAATGGCGATGTTCAGGGTAGGACGTTGGCTTTCAGTGCTATCAAGCTAACGTTAACATTTTCGTAGATCTCCTATTGCAGCTTTAAATGGAGACATTGAGACGTGAGACGTTGGCTTTCCAGTGTTATCAGGCTAACATTAGCATTTTCGTAGATCTCCTACTGTACCTCTAAATGCCGATATGCAGGTGGGACATTGGCTTTCAGGGCTATCAGGCTAACGTTAGCATTTTCGTAGATCTCCTACTGCATCTTTAAATGGTGATGTGCAGGGTGGGACATTGGCTTTCAGTGCTATCAGGCTAACGCAAGTATTTTCCAAAATCTCCTATTGCACCTTTAAATGACAATTTGCAGGTGAGACATTGACTTTCATTGCTATCAGGTTGATGTTAGCATTTTCATAGATCTTCTATTGCACCTTAAAATAGCAGTTTGCAGGGTGGGTTGTTGGCTTTTTAGTGCTATCAGGCTAACGTTAGCATTTTCGAAAAATTTACATTAAATGTTTACATTAAATGGTGATTTACAGATTTTGATTACATGGTAATTTGCAGTGTGGGACGTTGGCTTTCAGGCTAACATTAGCATTTTCGTAGATCTCCTGCTGCACCATTAAATGGCGATGTTCAGGGTAGGACGTTGGCTTTCAGTGCTATCAAGCTAACGTTAACATTTTCGTAGATCTCCTATTGCAGCTTTAAATGGAGACATTGAGACGTGAGACGTTGGCTTTCCAGTGTTATCAGGCTAACATTAGCATTTTCGTAGATCTCCTACTGTACCTCTAAATGCCGATATGCAGGTGGGACATTGGCTTTCAGGGCTATCAGGCTAACGTTAGCATTTTCGTAGATCTCCTACTGCATCTTTAAATGGTGATGTGCAGGGTGGGACATTGGCTTTCAGTGCTATCAGGCTAACGCAAGTATTTTCCAAAATCTCCTATTGCACCTTTAAATGACAATTTGCAGGTGAGACATTGACTTTCATTGCTATCAGGTTGATGTTAGCATTTTCATAGATCTTCTATTGCCCCTTTAAATAGCAGTTTGCAGGGTGGGTTGTTGGCTTTTTAGTGCTATCAGGCTAACGTTAGCATTTTCGAAAAATTTACATTAAATGTTTACATTAAATGGTGATTTACAGATTTTGATTACATGGTAATTTGCAGTGTGGGACGTTGGCTTTCAGGCTAACATTAGCATTTTCGTAGATCTCCTGCTGCACCATTAAATGGCGATGTTCAGGGTAGGACGTTGGCTTTCAGTGCTATCAAGCTAACGTTAACATTTTCGTAGATCTCCTATTGCAGCTTTAAATGGAGACATTGAGACGTGAGACGTTGGCTTTCCAGTGTTATCAGGCTAACATTAGCATTTTCGTAGATCTCCTACTGTACCTCTAAATGCCGATATGCAGGTGGGACATTGGCTTTCAGGGCTATCAGGCTAACGTTAGCATTTTCGTAGATCTCCTACTGCATCTTTAAATGGTGATGTGCAGGGTGGGACATTGGCTTTCAGTGCTATCAGGCTAACGCAAGTATTTTCCAAAATCTCCTATTGCACCTTTAAATGACAATTTGCAGGTGAGACATTGACTTTCATTGCTATCAGGTTAATGTTAGCATTTTCATAGATCTTCTATTGCACCTTAAAATAGCAGTTTGCAGGGTGGGTTGTTGGCTTTTTAGTGCTATCAGGCTAACGTTAGCATTTTCGAAAAATTTACGTTAAATGTTTTCATTAAATGGTGATTTACAGATTTTCATTACATGGTAATTTGCAGTGTGGGACGTTGGCTTTCAGGCTAACATTAGCATTTTCGTAGATCTCCTGCTGCAACCTTAAATGGCGATGTTCAGGGTAGGACAATGGCTTTCAGTGCTATCAAGCTAACGTTAACATTTTCGTAGATCTCCTATTGCAGCTTTAAATGGAGACATTGAGACGTGAGACGTTGGCTTTCCAGTGTTATCAGGCTAACATTAGCATTTTCGTAGATCTCCTACTGTACCTCTAAATGCCGATATGCAGGTGGGACATTGGCTTTCAGTGCTATCAGGCTAACATTAGCATTTTCGTAGATCTCCTACTGCATCTTTAAATGGTGATGTGCAGGGTGGGACATTGGCTTTCAGTGCTATCAGGCTAACGCAAGTATTTTCCAAAATCTCCTATTGCACCTTTAAATGACAAGTTGCAGGTGAGACATTGACTTTCATTGCTATCAGGTTAATGTTAGCATTTTCATAGATCTTCTATTGCACCTTAAAATAGCAGTTTGCAGGGTGGGTTGTTGGCTTTTTAGTGCTATCAGGCTAACGTTAGCATTTTCGAAAAATTTACGTTAAATGTTTTCATTAAATGGTGATTTACAGATTTTCATTACATAGTAATTTGCAGTGTAGGACGTTGGCTTTCAGGCTAACATTAGCATTTTCGTAGATCTGCTGCAACCTTAAATGGCGATGTTCAGGGTAGGACGTTGGCTTTCAGTGCTATCAAGCTAACGTTAACATTTTCGTAGATCTCGTATTGCACCTTTAAATCGAGACATTGAGACGTTGGCTTTCCAGTGTTATCAGGCTAACATTAGCATTTCGTAGATTTAATGTACCTCTAAATGGCAATATGCAGTGGGGACATTGGCTTTCAGTGCTATCAGGCTAACATTAGCATTTACCAAGCTCTCCTAATGCACGTTTAAATTAACCTGAGAAACTCACATTAACACAAAACATTATATTTAACATAAAATTTTAAATTATGTCCAATTTACTACTCAACCACCCAAATACAATGAAAAGAAATGTAAGTAAAGCACAGTTCAGCACTAAAGGGAATCTGTGTTCCCAGAGGTCTATGCGTCATATTACCAAGGGTCTTCTCCATTGACTGGATAAACGGATTATACAAAGTCCCTAATCGGAGTCTTAAGTCTTGTCTGTGAATGCTGTTTAAGTCCTCTAGAGAACTGCACTGTGAGTGTTCCCATAAACCCCTTCTCCAGCGTGACAACAGAGTGGTTCAGTCAGACAGCCATTCATAATCACCAGCACTGAGCTGCGATGCATGTTTCTATGTGCGTTTTGGCACAAACACAAGCGCTAATATCAGCCTCCATATCAGGTTGCAAACTTTACAATGGGTTTTAATAATGGGCGCTTACACTAACAAGTGCTCTTTATATACTCTGACTGATATTTCAAATTAAACCAGCAGACACTTTACAGCTTGTGTTCAAAGTGTGCTGTATAATGTAAAAAAAAAAAAAAAACAATGCTGATGGTAAGTAAAAAAGAGACTCGCTCTAGCGATGGCCTCAGATTAAAAAGCTTCTTATGTGCCAAATGAAAACACCACAAAGCAGCATATGGACACTGTATGTTGTCATCTCAGGACATCGAACACACTTTTTATGCCAGGGAATGAATGCTAAAATAGTTGACATTATAAACAGGATATGAGTGTCTTGTCCGTATTGAATCAGCCTTTTCCTGCAGCAGTTACTAATTTCCTTGAGTGACACAACTGTGAAAACACATTTAGCAGACCTGAGAGTGCTGACACTGCCAGTAGAATGTAAAGTTTGATGACGTCTAAT